GGTTGGAGAGATGCATAGTTCACGAGGAAGGGAGTATTGGAATCCCAGTCCCCATTCATTAGCAAGCTTGTTCATCTGTCTTGGTCACATGCCTTGTAGCGCGAGGGCGCGGCGGTTGGCGACTCCGGCGGCAGCCTCGGCGGTCTGGGCGGGGCGGGAAGCCCGCTTTCAACCCCGCATACCCTCTGACCCCGGAAGTGCTTGCTGCGCAGGACCCCTAGAAAAAAAAAAGGACCCGTCTTTTTTAGGTCACAAGATTGCGCCAACACTCACATGATACTTAAAAAAAAAATCTTTTAACACCGCAGTGGTGAAAACAAAGCACATCGTGGGTGGAAGCTGTGTGTCCGGCAAAGTTTTAAAATGAACATGTATTTTATTAACCCTAATGGCACCGGCGGCTGACTGAAAATATTAGTGTTGTATATGGGAGACACACGTTATTTTCCTGCCTTACAAAACAGGTTTATGCTTGGAGCGACACGGGCAGCCCCGGCAGCCACTGCAGGCGGCAGCCGGGACGCCGCGGGTTTAAAACGTACGCGTGAGGCGGCCAGAGCGCGTGCGCGAGGGTGCGGGGTGGACGGGAGGGGCAGCTGCCGTCTTCCGGGGGGGCGGCGAGGCGAGGCGAGGCGAGGCCTGACGGGCGGGAGCGCGCAGGCGGGCACGTGGAGCCTTTTCGTTCCCGGCGCCCCGCACTAAGCCTCACCGTGTCCCCTGCCCCGCGGTGGCGGCCGGCGAGTCGAAAGACTGAAGTCCACCCCCGGCCGCTGCCCCGAGTCCCGATCTGCTGTTTCTGGGATGTGTTTGTGGGATGCATGGCCATAAAAAGAATGGCGTCCATTTACATAATGCTTTGTTTGCATTTTCCAAGTTTCTTTCGGTTAAACCCGCAGAAACTCCACCTTCTGCCCTTGTAGCGTTTCAACCGCGCTTTGTCAGACATTTGAAATAGTGTCCATCTGTGGAGGTCTGGTTTATTCAAGGGGTGCCGACTAGGGCTTTGAGGAGTTCCTGCGGCTTCTCCTGCGCTCGCGCTGCCGCTTTTCGGCCCTCAGTGACGCCTTCCCTTTCCCAGCTCCCCCAGCTCTTAGCCTCCCCGCTCTCTTCGGGGGCGGCCGCAGACAGGCCCGCCATCTTGGAAGGCCTTTCCACTCGAGTTCCTCTTGCTAGGGAAATGTCTGTCGCTCGAGATGGTGGCGTACCAAGTAGTGACTTCTGCCTACAGTACTTTACTACATGCAGTGTACTTTGGTTTATATATAGAAAAGGGCACTTTATAACTAAAGTGATTAAAAATCCATTAGGAGATTGTGACCACTACACGCATTTAGTCCTTACAAAATCTCCTGAAATGGGTGATGGTGTTATTTTCATTTTACAGAGGTACAGAAGGGTGAAAGCATTTGTCCAAGGTTACATAGCTCGTAACTGGTAAAGCAAGGATTTGAATCTACGCAGTCTGAGTCCAGAGACTACGTATTTGATCACTAAGCTAGATGTGGTCTCTGTAGAGGGCCCTGTTTTGCAGGGAGACAGTATATTAGGGAATTAAAAATATAAATAAATGTTAAAAACTCAGAAGACAACAAAAGGACTAAGTTGCATATAATCAGGGAGTATCCTGATTCAAAGCATCATAGTCTTCTAATCTGTCATTTATTTTCCCTAAAGAAAATTTTATCCATCAGGTCTTTTCTTCCCACAACTGCCTTTTTTCTGCCTTAACTATTCCCTTGATTTCCTCTCACCTGAGTATTTCAACCAACATCCTCCTCAGTGAAGTTTTTCCTAGCTCCCCCAGCTCTTAGCCTCCCTCCTTCCCCCAGAGTAATATAACCCCTCCCCTCATGGCCTACATTTGGCTGTTGATTAAATTGTAATGTGTCTTGGTGTTGATAATGTGTATGGGCCACAGGTGCCTTGGGTGATGCTGCAATCTGGCAGAGAGGGCGGTGGACTTTGGAATCTGAGGATCTGGGCTCTAGCCCCTGCTGTCCCACTGACTTCTCTCTTAGACTTCTACAATTCAGTTTATTTGTGGGCCTCATTTTTCGCATCTGTAAAAACAAATGTAATGATCTCTAAGGCCCTTTCTAGATCAGTGCAAGAAGTGGTAATATTTGATGACCTTGGTTATTTATCCCTGGAAGGGAGGGGTTTATGTAAATATTTTACTTTTGGTAAATTCTCCACTCCTTTCCTCAGACCTACAGTATCTTGTGGACATGTGAATGAATTCCACACAACCCGATTTATAGATGAAGCCATGGAGATATGGAACAACTGACTGAATAGTCACTGCCCCACCCTTGGAGCCTTACACATGACTCTTCTCCCACTCGAGTGACCACAGGTTGGTTAAGGGGTTTAACAAGGCTGGGAAGGTGAGTCAGGCTTAGACTTTGAAAGTTGAACCACAAGACTTATACCCCATTTGGAGGAGTGATATTTGCTTCCTCTTACATTACATTGGTATGTTATGTAAAGCCTTTCAAAATGATTTTACATTGCTTGTTTAATCATCACAGACAGTAGGATGTTATTATTATGCCAATTTTACAGAAGAGCCATCTTTGGATCAGAGTAGTGAAGTTGCTTGTTCAAGGTTACACAGCTTGTTAGGACCTAAATTGAGCCTCTTGACCTCTAGTTATAGATGTTCCTTTCTGGGGCCGGCCCGTGGCTCACTCGGGAGAGTGTGGTGCTGATAACACCAAGGCCACGGGTTCGGATCCCATATAGGGATGGCCGGTTAGCTCACTGCTGAGCGTGGTGCTGACAACACCAAGGCAAGGGTTAAGATCCCCTTACCGGTCATCTTTAAAAAAAAAAAAAAAAAATAGATGTTCCTTTCCTTGGCTTCACACTTGGATGCATGGGATAAGTTTATCTTAAACTCGAAAAGCTTTACAGCCAGTCTTTATTTTTTCTGTTCCAGAACATCCAATCCACTTACCTTAGGCTCTTGACTCTTTTGGTTTAAGAGAATGTCTTCTCTCTAGTTCTCTAATGTTTACAATTATGAGTATAGGAAGGGGTGGAAATGTTTTCTTAATGAGATTCTTAAGTTCCTTGGTGGCAGGGACTTTTCTTTTCTCTAACCTGCCTGGCCTAGCAACTATACTTATAGCATGTATTAGTACATTTTTGTTGCTTATAACAAAATACACGGAACTGGGTAATTATAAAGAAAGTGAAATTTATTGCTTATAGTTTCTGAGGCTGCGAAGTCCAAAGTCCATCTGGTGGTGGTGACAGCGACCCAGGGGGTTTCACATTGCAAGATGGTGGAGGTAGAGAGAGCCAAGAGAAAGAAAGAAAGATTCTTCTCCTCTTTTAAAGCCCTCAGAACCATGCTTCAACCACCGTTTTTAATCCATTCACATTCACAATAGCACGGTCCTATAATTTAATCATCCCTTCAAGGCTGCACCTTTCAATTACCATAATAGATTTTCCCATCCTCTTAACAGTCACAGTGGGGGCTAAGTTTCTAATACATAAAATTTGGGAGACAATTCAAGCCTCAGTGAGTTTTGGGAGGACATAATTCAATCCACTACACAGCTATTTAAAATTGCCCTGCCAACATGGCAGCATTTTTTCAAAAACATGTTTTTTTCTCTCACCCTTCAGATTTATTCTCCTGTTTCTCTTTTATTTAAAATAATAGTAAATTGAGAAAGCCTTTTCCCTGTTATTTCCTAGGCTACTACAGTCTAGAAACATATCTTACCTATTTTGTACATAGTAACAATTTAATCTCATGTGCTGGTGCTCCTGCACTGCTGTTATGAGGTCACTCCTTCCTGAGAAACGTAAGAAATATGTGGGTGTTTAGTTTATGTTAGTTTGCAGAAGTGACCAGGAGATACAATAACATCCTTGGCTTAAGTTCTCTCAATTGGGCAAAGCAGTGCCCGTGTATTCTCTAATGTACCTCTGCTTGAAATAAGGCATGGGGAAGGGATTACAGAGAAAAGTTAAGGGGAAAAATGAGAACAGTGTGCAAATACAAAGTACAGAAAGCGAGGACGGAAAAAAAGTAAGAAAAGGAAAAAGATAAGAGAATAGGTTAGAGAGAAGGGATCAATACAGGATAGGTGGAAGGGAGGTGAAGGGAATAATCCAGAGGTCCATTAAGCCCCTCGTGGTGTGAGAAACACAGGCTGCTGTCTTGTAGGAAGGAAAAGCAGCTGGTATAACTCCCGAGTTGATCTTGGGTAGCACATATTTTCCTTTCTTATCCTCTATTTCCAGTATCAGGTAGGGGAAATTGCTTTTTTCTTCTATCAGCTGGGGTTGTGATCAGATGCCAGTAATTTTGATATTATCCTCAGTTCAGTTGGCTTATCAAGGAAAATGTATTACAAAAATCACAGAAGGTATTCCAGGTCAAATTTCATTTTATTCATTCATTCAGCAAGTAATTATTACTTGATATGTCCCAGACACTGAGGACATAAAAATGAATGAGATCCTGTTCTTTTTTTTTGGGGGAGGCTGGCTGATAGGGGATCTGAACTCTGGACCTTGATGTTATCAACACCATGTTCTAACCAGCTGAGCAAACCAGCCAGCCTGAGATCCTGTTCTTGCTCTCAAGATGTTTGTGGTCTGGAGAGGGAGACAGACAAGTAACACAGTACAGTGTGTTAAGTATTAGGATATTAGCAGAGGGTGATACGAGAGCACAGAGGAGGGACCCTTGGTACAGCCTTGGAGGGGATCTGGGAAGGTTGTGTAGATAAGTTGGCATCCAGGCTGAGTCCCAAATTAGCAGATTGCAAAGTAGAGGACAGGGAAGGGTATTCTAGGCAGAGCAGAGAAAGCAAAGGCCCAAAGGCAGGGAGAGCACAGTCCATTCAGAAGTTGTAGGCATTTCAGGAAGATATCAAGAATGTTTGCATTATCCAATTTTTGGTGATTGTTCTACTGTTTTACTAGTGTGGGTTATTAAGACTTGACTATGCTTGCTGGAGCACAGAACGGTAAAGGCTACTTATTTTATAGCAGTAATTCTATTTTAAGATGAAAACACCAGAAATTGTATTTCATGTCTAGAGATTCCTAGGAGAAAATGTAAATTAGCACAGCCTTTGAATTAGCAAATGATTGGTAATCCTCTGTCCAGTAAAAGAAAGAAGGTGCAGTGTGCAACATGTTCCTTTCTCATCCAACTTTGGGATCTGATTGTGTTCTGCTTTGTTTTTAATGAGGTGTGTGGGGGTGAAATTTAGGGTCCTTGTTTAGCTGGTTAGGATATTTGAGTTAGGAGGAGGGAAAGGAGTTCAAGAATAGTTGCTACTTGGGCCGGCCCGGTGGCGCACTGCTACAGTGTGAGCGTGGCTGCGCTCCCGCCGAGGGTTCGGATCCCACATACAGACCGGCCGCTCACTGGCTGAGCGAGGTGCGGGTGCGACACCGAGGGTTGCGATCCCGTTGCCGGTCCCGGTCCGGTACGGGTGCGACACTGAGGGTTGCGATCCGTTGCCGGTCATGAAAAAAGAGAAAAAGCAAAAAAAAGAAAAAAAAAAAAAAAGAATAGTTGCTACTTTATGGCAGAACAAAAGAAATACATTTAAATAGCTCTTTTCTCTGATCTTACCTACAGAGCAAAAGCAAGACATAGTCAGGGACTTTGTTTCAGAAAGACAGTTATTTTAACTAGACAAAGCATTTATTTAACATTATTCACTGTAAAATCTATTGTGTCCAGATTAAGAGCATTGATTTTTTTTTTAAAACCCTTGACCTTTGAGTTATCAATATTTTTTGTCTTTTTTTTTTTTTTTCCTTTTTGTCTTTTTTCGTGTCCGGCAACGGATCGCAACCCTCAGTGTCGCGCCCGTACCGGACCGGGACCGGCAACGGGATCGCAACCCTCGGTGTTGCACCCACACCTCGCTCAGCCAGTGAGCGGGAACCGGTCTGTATGTGGGATCCGAACCCTTGGCAGGAGCGCCACTGGCTCCCAAGCGGCGCACTGTAGCAGTGCGCCACTGGGCCGGCCCAATATTTTTTGTCTTTTGAGGCATAGATATAGCTGCATTAAACAGAAAACCTTATGTGTATTCATTGGACAACACTGGGATTTTACCTGGATTAATAGAGGAAAAAAGTGGTATGTGTGGAGTAGGAAAGAACAAGCTTAGAAAATAGCATATAGATTCAGTGATTGTTTTCAGGGGTCAGCCATCTTTCTTGGCCTCACTGTGGCAATTGATGTTCCCTCCTTGCACACTATCTTCACTTTGGCTTCTAGGATGCCACTCCCTTGATTCTCCTCCTACTTCGCTGGCCCCTTCTTCTCAACCTTTCTTGATTTTTTTTTTCTGATTCATCTCCTCAACCTCCAATGATAGAATACTCAGAGCAGTTCTTAGATACCTTCTCTGTCTACATTCATTTCTTAGGTACTCTCTTTCAAGACTTTACCATATATCCCCTGAGAGTTCTTGAGTTTATATTACTATCTTGAATGTCTTCCCATGAACTCAGGACTCTTATATGCAGCTGTCTATTGGATACCTCCACTTGGGTATCTAATAGCTTCTTGAACTTATTAAAGAACCTAACTGCAGAATTTCTCTCAAAGCTTCATCTCTGGCTGTTCCTCCCCATCTTAGTTTCATTTATATTGAATATATACATGAGTCTCTCCTGATTCTGTTCTTTCTCTTACTCTCCTCATCCAGTCCGCCAGCAGGTCCTGTCAGCTCCATCTTATAATATATCCAGTGTTTGAACACTTCTTACCATGTGCCCTGCTGCTGTTGGAATAGTCTTCTAAATGGTCTTCCTCCTTTTGCTTTTGGTCCCCTCAGTCTAATCTTAACAGTGAGCAGAGTAATCCTTTTAAATGTACATCAGATCATGCCACTTCTCTGCTGAAAACTGTCCAGTTTCTCCCAGCTGCTCTAACTTCTTCCCTACCACTTCCCCTTGTGCTCTAGTCACACTGGTCTCTTTGCAGTTGCTCCAACATGCTGGGCCTTGGGGCCTGTGTAGCTGTGTTTTCTGCCAAGAACACTGTTCTTCCAGATGTCAGTATAGCCTCCTCCCTTACCTTGTTCAGATTTCTGCTCATCTGTCACCTAATTAGTGAAGTATTTCTTAACCATCCTTTTTAAAGTAAAAGCTGTCTCCCTACTCTCTGCCTTCTCTGTCTTCCTTCCCTGCTTTATTTTTCTCTGTAGAACTTATTGCTATTTGACATACTATTTTCGGCAGGGGGTGGGGGGGCACAGGGATCTTGGCTGGTACAGGGATCTGAATCCTTCACCTTGGTGTTAACAACATTGCACTCTCGGCCGGCCCGGTGGCACACTGCTACAGTGCGCCGCTTGGGAGCGCAGCAGCGCTCCCACCGAGGGTTCGGATCCCACATACAGACCGGCAGCTCACTGGCTGAGTGAGGTGCGGGCGCAACACCGAGGGTTGCGATCCCGTTGCCGGTCCCGGTCTGGTACGGGTGTGACACTGACGCAGCGGCGCTCCCACCGAGGGTTCGGATCCCACATACAGACCGGCAGCTCACTGGCTGAGCGAGGTGCGGGCGCAACACCGAGGGTTGCGATCCCGTTGCCGGTCCCGGTCTGGTACGGGTGTGACACTGAGGGTTGCAATCCATTGCCGGACACGAAAAAAGACAAAAAGGAAAAAAAAAAAAACAAAAAAACATTGCACTCTAACCAAGTGAACTAACCGGGCATCCCTGGACATGCTATTTAATTATTCATTCATTTATTCATTGTTTAACTAGTACTTACTGAATGCTGCCTACTGTATGCCAGGGACTGTTCTAGGGACTCTCTGCCATAGTTTACTATTTGTGACCCCTACTATAATGTAAATTTCATGATGGTTAGGGCTTTGTTATGCTCATTGCTATATCCCTGTCTCCTAGAACAGTGCTAGTACATAGGAGTTGAATGAATAAATTTATTCAATTTTTAAACAGAAGTATATTGAATATGTAGAGGGTTGTGTGCCACATAATGAGGGGAAGATCTGTGTGAATAAGATATCGTTCCTGCCCTCAAGCTGCTCAAGAGTCTAAAAGATGCTTATTTTGATCTGAACAGTGCTGTGCTCTCTAGCAGGATAAAATGCTACCTCATTCTGGAATTGGGGAGATGAGAACTGGTTTGCAGGGGTGTGGATATCATCAGAGACCAAGTCCTCCTTTATCAGGCTTATCAATAATTTGCACTCTTTTTGGGAGGGCAGGATTGATGATAGCTCACTATTGCTACCTTTATAGGTTACAGTGCATGTTTGGTCTTATCTTGTTAGAGCAGTTATGGCCTTTTCAAGAGTTTCTTTAAAATCCTGTTTTAAGTCTTGGTTCTTTTTAGGAACTTTCTGAGCACCGTCTAACACAGCCACCTACTCACAGGGTAAGTGAAAGAGTTCGCCAACTTTACCTTCCTCCATATCTGAAAGTTCTTTTCCAGTAACCCTGGCCATCCACTTACTTGTGTGGCCTTGAACCAACCTCAGTTTCAGCACCTGTCAGATGGAGATAAGGACAAATGACACCAGTCTTGTGAGGATTAAATGACTAATACATCAGTTTTGTGAACAGGAGAGTGGAAAGGAGAAAGGGAATAGAGACTGACAATTTCTTTTTAAAATAAGTATTGTATATCTCTGCTCTATTTTGAAACAAAGTTTATAAAATAAGTGTATGTTTTCTTTTCTAATGAGAGTAATAAAGATTTTATTATTTAAAACAGATTTTTGTGTATTGCTTTCTATACAGTAACAAGTTTCTAATAAATACTTCCCTGTCTCTCTACCCAGGTACTTACCTCTAAACAAGGGTACTTTAAAAAGTTCATGGAAAGATTCATATTATCTTTTAATTGTATTTTTCCATGAACTTTTGAAGCACCTTTGTATTACCTGAGGGAAATGAAATCCTAGAACCCCACCCCAAGCTACCCAGTGAGCTGGTAGCTAGGTAGAAAAACAACCCTTTCCTTTTAGATGAAATTGGAACTAGGAGGTAGTAGTCTTTGGGAGAGGCTCAAAGAGATTGAGGAGGAGGAGGAGGAGGAGGGTAACAGCAATAAAAATAATGGCTAACTTTGATGAACCAGGAACTGCGCTAAGCACTTCATGTGGATTGTTTTAACAGCATAACAACCAGATGATGCTGGTACTATAAGAAGCAGAGCAGTGTAGGAGTATGGAGTATAGACTCTGGGGTCAGACTTCCTATACTCAGATATCAGCTTTGCCAGTAGATGACTCTGGTGGCCTTGAACAAGAAAACTACCTCATTTTCCTCATCCGTATCTGTAAAATGAGGGTAATAATAGTACCTGTGTTGTAAGGTTGTGATGGTTAAATTACAAAAGTCAGGTAAAGTGCTTAGCATAGTGCTTGGTACATAGAAAGTGCTTACCCAATGTCAGCTGTTACCATAATTAAAATAGTTGTTATCCTCATTTAGTAGATGGAGAAACAGCTTAGATATAGGTAAAGTAATTTGCCTAAGTCACACAGCATATTAATGATGGAACCAGAGTTTGTATCCAGGCAAACTCCAGACCTTTTGCTCTTAACCTTACCCTGCATCACCTTAATAGGTTGAGGGGAAGAGACTGCACAAGAACTCCATCTTGTTGAACTTGAGATGAGGTAGGTGTAAAGTTTGGGCTTGGGTTCTGACCTACCTAACCTTCATTTGTGATCTTAAGCATCTTATCACCGTAGTGTGTGCCTTGATTATTCTCTTGAATTGATTCTTCCCTAGATGAAACGAGTGATAGTTAAGTTACAGTCTTTCCTCCTAAGGGACTGGGAGTCCCCTAGGCCAGGAAATGGAGCTAAACAAACACATCTGTCTCAGTACTCTTTGGACCAAGTATAGGAACTTGTCTGGTCTCTCTTCTTCATACAGCTGGTAATGATGAGAAGCAGAACAGTACACACGTTAAGAAATTTCTGTGTACTATGGACTTTACATGGATTATCTCATTTAATGCTTAAAATAACCTTATATGTAGGCATTTTTATCCCTATTTTATAGAGTTGAAGAGAAGTTATGAAACTTACTTAAAGTCACATGGTTTATAAATGGTAGAACTGGGATTTGAATAAGGCAGTCTGGCTCCAGAGTCCATGCTCTTAATCTCTGCACTCTACTCTACTCTTCTAGTCTTCTCTTACCTTTGGAAAGTAGTTAGTGTGGGCAATGTGGTTTAAGAGGTAATAGGCCAGTTCTGTCTTTCCATTTGAAAAATGGGAAGATTTTGACGGACCAGGAATGAGGAGGCCTGGGATCTTGTCTTGACCCTGTCACCAGCTTGTCATGTTCAGGACTTCACTTTTCTTAGCTTTGTTGTCTTCATTCATTAAACAAAGGGGTTGCTCTAGTTGCTCTTTGAGGTCTTTTGGAACTCTGATGTTCTGTGTTAATCATAGGAAGTAAGCAGAGTAACACCTACTCAGCTCCTTGAATTTGGGGCAGTGGTATTTTGTGAGGTCTTAGTGAGTCTGCTTTGTGCACTGAAGATGCCAGATTCCAGAGAAAGGGATGAACTGTTCACCTCCTTGAAGATGGTAGGTCTGAGCTCTTTAGTGAGACTGGTTGCCAAGGAAACTCAGCCTCTGGCCCAGCAACAGCCAGGAATGCTTTGGTTGAGGCTTGAGTACAAATAACTAAAACAAGCACCACATTTAGGTTTCGTTCCCTGTGTCCCCAACCACCACCCCCACTTCCCTTTCCTTTTCAAGATGCTAGTTTTGAACACCGTCATGTGTTAGGCACTCTTTTAAGTACTTAACAGAGTATCATATTATTTAATATTCATGGTAATCTTACAAGATAGGTACTAACGTTCTAAATTTATAGATAATGTAACTGAGGCAAATAGAGTTAAATAACTTGTCCACATTTACTCAAGTAGAAGGTGAAAGTAGTATCAAATCTATGCTTTATTTTTTTTTCCCCAAACCTATGCTTTTAGCCACTAGGTTGTACTGCCTTGTTATATCTTTAAAAAAAAAAGAAAGGAGGAGGATTCTTTAGTTATTTGTTAGTGGTTTTTGTTTGTTTGTTTTTGTTTTATTTAGATTGATTGACTCTTGGAGCTGGAAAGAGCCTTTGAGGTAATTTAATGCAATCTCCTTGTTTCCAGTCTGCCATCCATTTACAGGAATGCTTTCTATCGTCCCCTTAACAGAAGATCATCCAAGTTCTCTTTGAATACTACTATTAATGGGGGAGCTCATCACTTCTTGAGAACATTATTGTTGAATAGCTCTCATTGGTAGAAAATTATTTCTTGTTTTGAATTGGAATACAATTGAGACTTCTCGTTGGTTTTAGGCCAGTCCCCTGGAACCATGCAGGAAAAATAGTCATATAATCCATCTTCCATAATTTTGTAAACCTGTGGACAGTCTTTCTATTTATAAGGCATATTTACAGTTTTCTAATAGCATCTAAACTTGCTTTTGATTCAGATCTTTTAATGTAAAAGCAGTCCCTACCTCTCCCTATTTTGCAAATACAGCCTACCAAATCTGTGCTTTGCTTTTTGTGATTATTTAGGCACAAAGGGGGCTTTTCCCACATACTTGGAGAATGAATGGATGGTGAGCTGTGTTTTGAAATTTGCATGAGTGTGGAGGGTTTTACAGTTTCCTAATCTCGTAATCTCTAGAAGGCAGGCTGCTGCCCTGCACACTCCATCAGAGCTCACAAAATGGCTGGGAGTTTATCCGGGCACTTGATGAACTGCATTTACTTCATCAGGCCACTAGGTGACGAGCAACTCACAAACCCAAACTGCCAGGGTCTGTGTGTACAGTATAGTTATTGTCTGTATTTGGAAAGAACATCAGAAGTCATTGGTTCAACCTCATTAAAAGGTTTTTGGTGGGTGGGAGTGGAGCATATACTTCGTATATACTTTGTCTTTCCTGGCTGTGTTCCAATTTTAAATATTAAGTTGGCTGGGATGTTTCTTTGAGTGATTTGATGCATGATACTTTCAGAGTCTTTATATGTCCAATTTTCTTTTAACCTACATGTATGAATGATGTCTTGGTCGGGTTTAGGATTCTTGAATATTAGTCCTGGTATCTACAGAGTCTGTAAGCAGCTTTCCACTGTCTTGTGTTTTCGGTGATATGGATGAGAATTTCAATACCAATAGGATTCTTTTTCTTTGTGAGTAATAACCTGTTCTCTCTGGAAGTTTGTGAATTTTTAATTTATGCTTAGAGTTTCATCATGGTGTGCTGAGATGTGTATCTTTTAAAAATAACCCTTCTTGGCACTCGAGCCTTTTAGACTTAAAAACTTATCTTTTCTCAGTTCAAGGAGAACTTATTGTTTCCCTTCTTTCTGTTTCTAACTTCCTTACTTTACAGATTAGGAAACTGAAACTGAACCCAGAAAGTGAAATGACTTGCTCAAGGTTATATAGCTGGTTACAAATGAAGCTCAAGCGAATAACCTGACTTCTTTGATGAACTAGACTTTTATTGAATTGAATATTGTTCCAGTGAGAGGGCCATTATGAATAACTTGGAAATTTTTTAGTGAGACAGGAATTTTGCCAATGGCTCATGGGGAGATGAAGGCCGAAGAGTGAGAAAATTCAGTATGATTAAAATATGGCTTCTTTGAGGCTGGCCAGTTAGCTCACTTAGAGTGCATTGTTATAAAATCAAGGTCAAGGATTCAGATCTCGGGAGGGAGGTTTCGGTGATGGGACACAATAAATAACTACATTGTATATTGACAAAATAAAAATAATAAAAAAATAAAAAAAATAAAAAAAATAAAAGGATTCAGATCTCCTTATTGTCCAGTCGCCAAAAAAAAAAAAAAAAAAAAAAAAAAAGGCCTGTTTGAAGGACTAAAGAATTCACAAGTCCCCTGGTATCCCAGTTATTGGAGCTAACCTAAAGCTCTAAAACTTAATAAAACCAGGAAGTTGCTTGAACACTTGAAGAGTTAAATATTTAGTAGTCAGGAGTTGGATAAGTGTGGTCGTGCCTTGTTGTAAATATTGGAAAACATAAATGGCATATGAAGGCTTGGAGACAGACATCATAAACCATGTCTTATCAGTGGTCTGGTTTCTGTTTTGATTTACAGCTTGGGACACTTTTCTGTTGGGAATCACCTGCTCCTGGCTCTGTTGATCTTTGAATTTCCCCACCCCTTCAGTTCCTTTCAGTTTTGAAATGAAACCTACCCCAGAGGGCGACGTCAGGTATCGAGAGGACTTTGACAGCTCACACTGGGTTGTTTTTTTTCCAGAGCTGTCTGGTATGTGACTTTGTGAGGTGTGAGGCTCAGCAGGCTGTTGTACAGAATAATTGATGGTGAATCAGCTGTTGGGTAAGGTGTGGGCAGTGTCATTTCTGTGGG